ACACTAAAAAATAATGATAAAAATAGTAATAGAAAAAAAAGACAATGAAGTAATTATAAACATAGTATTGTAAATACATAAACAGCAACAATTGGTTATTACCAAGTATTATGTACTGTTCATAATCCTATGTGCTATCCTTTTATGCAACTAGCAGAGCACCAGGTTTGTTTACATGAGTGATGTGTTGCACCATGCCATTACAAGGCTAGAATGTTATTAAGTTATAGGAAGTTTTCAACTCCATTACAATGTTATGGGACAGCCATTGCCTATGCAGTCCATCATTGACTGAAACATTAAATGGTGCATGACTATACAGCATAGATGAAGAAATGAGAAGGTAATCAAAATGTATTGCTACAAAGAAAGACCATAATGGATGAATCAGGAAAAAGCAGCCTTAAGGCATACAAAAAGGCACAAGTCCTTAACAGTAATCACTTTTAATGTAAATGGATGAAATCCCCCCAATCAAAAGACAAATTTAAATCAGCAAAATGAATTTAAAACAGGATCTAGCTATGTACTGTCTACACAAGGCTCACTTTAGTCCTAAGGGCAAACACGTTCAAAGTGAAAAAATGGAGAAAGAGCAGGAATGGCTATACTGATATTGGCCAAAAGCAAAGACCTAAAGGATACAAGGACATTATATATTGGTGAAAGAATCAATTTGCTAAGATATAACTGTTACAAACATACATGCATCAAACAGAGCTCCAAAATATACGAAGCAAACACAAACAGAACTTAGGAGAAAAGTACTTCTACGGTAGTGAGAAGACTTCAGTGTCCCACTATCAATAATGGATAAAACTAATAGGATCGGTAAGGAAATAGAAGATTTAAAACAACGTAGGCCAGCTGGACTTATTATGTGTACACAACAGCAGAAGCATGTTTTTCACAGGCGTGCATGGAACAGTCTCTAGGACTTGACCATATGTTAGTCCCCAAACAAGTCCATTAATTAAGACTAAAATGATACAAAGTATCTCTTTTTCCAGTCAATGCAGTAAAACCAGAAAATAAAAGGAAAACTGAGAAATCTATAAATATGTAGAAATTAAATAACATACTGTTAATGGGACAAAGAAGAAATAAGACAAATTAGAACTCTCTTGAAAATAAAAACTAAAATCTATGGAATGCTGCAAGAGCAGTGCTAAGAGGAAATATATAGCTGTCAGTGCTTACATTTGTAAAAATCGCAGATCACCTAATGAATCTGTTTGGGGCTGAAAAAAAATTCAAAAATAGCAGAAGGAAATAAAACATTAGAGCTGAGATAAAATAGCAGAAAAAGAGAAAATCAATGAAACCACAAGTTGGTTCTTCAAAAAGGTTAAAAAAATTGACAAGGTAGGCTAAAAGATGTGGGGACATTAATACCAATTTTGTAGAAATGAAAAATCACAAGTACTAAAAAAAACTATGTATCAACAAACTGGATAACTTAAAAGGGCAAATTCCTGGAAACATAACTTAACCAAGACTAAGACTAAATCATAAAGGAACAGAAAATATGAACGAGGGCTATAGCTAGAAGGAGACTGTTCGAAGGTTTTTTCTCCATTACTGATCCAAAGAAGAGCCCAGGGACAGATCACTTCACTGGTGAATTCTACCACATATTTAAAGAATTGGCACCTGTTCTTCTCAAACTCTTCCAAGAAAAAAAAAAATTGAAGAATAGGTAACACGGACTAATGCATTCTACTAGGCCAACAGTACCCTAATACCTAAGCTAAAGATACTACAACAGGAAAATTAAATAACATGCCTTATCAATATTGATGCAAAAAGCTTCAATACAATAAAGAGCAAAGCAAATTCAACAGCATATTAAAAAGATCATACACTCTGACAATGTGGGATTTATTCTTGGAATGGAAGGATAGTTCAACATACAAAACCAATGTAACACCACACATTAACAGGACAAAGCAAGGGAAGTACATCATCTAAGACTCAGGGGCGTCTAACCTGCAGCCTAGGGACCACACGCAGCCCAGGATGGCTGTGAATGCAGCCCAACACAAAATCATGAATTTGCCTAAAACGTTCTGAGGCTTTTTTTGTGATTACATTTTGCAATGTATGTAATGTGTGGCCCCCAAAACAACTCTTCCAGTGTGGTGCAGAGATGCCAAAAGGTTGGACAATCCCTGAAAGTACATGCAGGAAAAGCATGTGACAAAATTCAGCACCTTTTCATGATAAAGTCACTCAACAACGAGAAATACAAGGAAACTATCTCAACATAAACGCCATGTATGAAAAAGCCACACTTACCATATACAATGACAAAAAATTGAAAGTTGGAATTTTCCTCTCAGATCAGGAACAAGACAGGATACCAGCTTTCTCACTGAATTCAACTGTTGGAAGTTCTAGCCAGGTCAGTCAGTCAATTTTTTTTTTTAAGGCATCCAAATTGGAAAGGAAGAAAAATATCTCTTTGGACAAAGAGATATGATCTTACATTTAGAAAACCCTAAAGATGACAGAACTAATATATCCAACAAAGTTGCCCGATACAAAATCAACACATAAAAAGCAATGAACAAATCTCAAATGGAAAAAGAAAACAATTCATATCAGACAGTAATACTTACAAGTAAACTAAACTAAGGAGATGAAAGACTTATACACTGAAAACTACAAAATATCCCAGAAAGAAATGGGAGATGACAAATAAATGAAAATATGTCCTGTGTTTATGAATTGGAAAATATTACTGTTAAGATGGCAGTATTACTCATGTAGAGTCAATGCAGCACTTATCAATTCCAATGATGTTTTTAGCAAAAATCCAAAATTCTGTAATAAACTTTGTATGGAATCTCAAGAGACCCTTAATAGCCAAAACAATCTTGAAAAAGAAAATAGTTGAAAATCTCACACTTCCTGATTTCAGAACTACAAAGCCACAATAATCAAAACAATGTGATATTGGCATAATGACAAGAGAGCCCAGCAGTAAACTCTTGTATAAGATGGTCAAATAATTTTTTTGATAAGGATGTTCAATGGGGAGAGGAGAATGGTCCTAACAAATAGTCCTAGGAAGTAAGGATAACCATATGCAAAATAATGAAGTTGGACTCTTAACACAATATACAAAAATTCACTTTAAATGGATCAAAAACCAAAACACAAAAGCTAAAACTATAAAACCCTTGAAAGAAAACACGGGAGAAACTCTGTGAAATTAGATTTGGCAACGACTCCTTAGATATCACAACAAAAGCACAAGCTACAAAAAAAAAACAGGGAAATTGGACGTCATCAAAATTAAATACTTTTGTACATCAAAGGACACTATCAACAGAGTGGAAGGGGAACCCAAAGAATGGGAAAATACTTATAAAACACTATCTATAAAGCATTAACATCCAGAATAGATAAAGAACTACAACTCAATAGATAAAACCACCCTGTTAGAAAATTAGCAAGGAACTTGAATAGACATTCCTCCAAAGATACAAAAATGGGCAATAAACACATCAGATGCTCTCATCTCTAAATCATTAGGAAAATGCAGATCAAACCACAGTAAGATTGTGCTTCACACCCATTAAAATGATTTTTACCAACAAAAGCAGAAAATAAGTGTTGGGGAAGTGGAGAAATTCAAACCCTTGTGCCTTAGTGGAATTGCAAAATGGTGTAGTCATTGTGGAAAACAGTATGGCAGGTCCTCAAAAAAAATTAAACATGGAATTTTCATCTGATACAGTATTACCATGTCAGGATATATATCCCCAAAAAGAACTGAAACGGATTCAGAGATACTTGCACTCTCATGTTCAAAGCAGGAACATTCACGATAGCCAAGAGTTTGAACCCAAATGTTCATGATGGGTAAACAAACAAAATGTGACATATACACACATACAGAGGCATGTATTATTCAGCCTTAAAAAGGAAGGAAATTCTGATGAATCCAGAACACATTATGCTAAGTGAAATAAGCCAGGCACAAAACAAGTATAGTATCCTTCTACTTATATGGAGTATATTTAGTCAAGTTCATAAAAACACAGAATGGTGGTTGCTAACAGTTTCAGAGATGGGTGGGAGTTACTGTAATGGGTACAGAGTTTCAGTTTGGGCAAATAGAACTCAGCAAAAAAAACAAACAATGCATGACAACATGGGTTGACCTATAAACAAAATGTAAGCTCAAATAAGCAAACAAATATTCCATTTGTACAAAGTCCCAAAACAGGCAAAACCTAGCATGCCCTTGAGAAAAACACACGTGTATATGGAGAGACAGGAAAACAAAACCCAAGGGGATGATTACTCCAGGAGTCAGGACAGAGGCAGTGTTAGCCCTGGGGTCAAGGAGGGGCGGGTACAATGTCGGAGGGGTGCATACATGGCTTTTAAGGTACTGACAAACAGGTTTCTTAAAAAGTAGGTATATGAGTGCTAATAATTATTCTTGGAACTGTAATGTGTTTTATGTGAATCTGTATATATTTCACAACTTTTTAAAAGGCATTGAGCCCACCCACTTACCACCACCCCTCAAAAAAGAAAAGTGAACTTTCTCCATGTTTTACTTACCAGATGGTTTATATTTTGAAGTAAGGCTTGAAAATCTAAAAACACCATAGTGATTACTTTTCAGACTTCTCATTGGGATCCCCCCCCCCTCAAAATAGCATCTATTCTGCTTTTTCTCTCAGAAATAAAATAGCTCCAAACATTTTATTCTCCCAGGTATTTTAAGACTATACACCTAAACACACCTATATTATTACTTTGCCTGGTATTAACTTCTCACAAACATTCACTAGATACAATTTATGAACTTCTCACAAAATATCCACAAATATTTGTAGATTTTTCATTGTATTTGGAACAGTTTTGATGTAAATATGATTGCTGTTCACATCAAATTAACAATAACCAATAAAATTTGAGCTCATTTAGAGCCATCAATTCCAGCAGACCTTTGGAATCTCTAAAAATAAAACACACACAGATGGGTATAGTATTTAATCGAAATATATTTGTCTAATATCTACAAAGTGTGAAGAATTGGTCTTAAGAAAGCAGACAAAAGGCACAAAATTAGTATTACTACAGAGAAGCATTCATGCTACTGGATTTTATAAATAGAGTGGCACAGTAAAAAATAAATGAAGCATTGAGCAAAAATCAAATTTGTCATTTTTTCCCCCTTGCTTTATATTCTGGTCATGTCTTGACCTCATTTGTAAAGGCTGAGGACTGAGATTCAACTGAAACCATGGAACGCTTAGGCAGGCTTTATATTAATCACAGTGGTTTTCTTTGAAGAGTTTGGGTCAAACAATAGAGGGGCACTAAAAAAAAAAAAAAATCCACAGAAAACATTTTTCTCTTTCCCCAAACTTAAATACAAGATCAAGGCTGTGGTTGTGCATGTTTCTATATGCATGCGTGTATTTAACTTCTAAAGCCCTTTTTTCATCATAAAAGTATTGAAGTTTCTGTATGACTCATTTACTACTGTGAAAGCAGCTTCAGGGAAAAAAAAATATATATATGACTAGTGCTTTGAGCATGAGAAATTATGGGAGGAAAATTCCAAGGTGGGCCTGGTTCTAAGTTCTCCCAGAGGTGCTCCATCCTGAAAGGTTCTAGCAAAAAACCTTTAATAGCTTCCTGCCCATTCCTCATTCAGCAGAAGGAGCTGTTTATCTTTCTGGAGTATGGACAAATGAGATGGTGAAGTGGGGACGGAGGTGGGAATCACAGTAATTTTGAAATGACAGCCACCTACCAGGAATGAGCCACTTTCTACCAGATGAATGTCAGTTGGGCAATGCCAATTCAATTCTGTTTTGACAGGAGTTGACTGCCTTTGTGAGTGCAAAACATTTTTGGCAAAGGGAGAAATAGAAAACGTCAAACCTCATTGATAAAAAGGTGCCCATAATTACCCACTTAGATCTTAGTAAGTGCAGTATGTACATATGTAATACCCAGCAGACGTGTATGTAATGCATGTGTCTGAGTAGTGTGCCAAGAGCTCACACACACCACTGTACACACACACACACGCCCCAAATGGCTCTTGAGTAAATTCAATCCTATAGGAGAGTTTGGGGTGCATTTTTCACAGTATATAATTTCTCAGGTACCATTTCTTGAATGATATCAAGAGATCTCAGGGAGTACCACAGAACCTTGATACTGTACCACTTTAATTCCTACAAAAAGAGGCCTCTTTCCAAAGGCTCTGCACCTCCACACCATCAGTGTGCCTTCCAAAGGGGATTGAAGTAGACCCAGCCGTCACCCTGTCAGAGAAGGGAGAAAACATTACATGGAGACCTCTCAGCCAGCAAAGGGGAAAAACAAGAAGAGTCTCAGACGCTGCTGGATTGGAAGCTGAGTACCCTGCAAGGCAGTGCTCTGTGAGTGTGTCTGTTCAGAACCACAGCCAGTATGTGTCTGCCTTGTTCCTGATACCTCGGCCATGCCAGGCGCGTGGTCTCCCTATCCCTCCCCTCAGCCCAGCTGCTTTTGAAAGCCTGTATGATCTTCACATCCTGACATTTTAGCAGGAAACCCCACAAAATGACCAAAATAATATAAGAATGGGGCTTTGTTGGATTACATCAAGGAAGATGACAAAAAAACACTGAAACAGGACATTGGGGTGGGGGGTATTGGATGAACAGATGGGAGAGAAAAGGCAAGTGCCTGTGTATGAGGAATTTGCCACCTGCCAGCCTGCAGAGGAATGCCCAACAAAAGCTCTCACCAGCAGGCTGCACTCAGAAGTAAATCACACAAGAATCAAGATGGCAAGCGCAGTCTGGTGCTAGACAAGAAGGACACGTACTGAAGGGTAACAACTCTGGTATTGGGGTGATTTTTATTCTCTACATATCCTCAAGCTTTCTGTTAGGAACACTGGCTTTTACTAAACCCAGTGGGAACAACATAAGTTGTCTTTTTTTTTTTTAATGTGCAACTTGCCACAGAAGCCAGACAAACTTCTTGTCTCAGAGAGACCAGATCCACATCACTGAAAGATCCTTGAAGGATTTTGTGATGGTTAATTTTATACATCAACTTGGCAGTCGATGGGTGCCCAGATTACACACATTTCTGGGTGTGTTTGTGGGGGGTGTTTCTTGATGAAATTAGCATTTGATTGGTAGAAACAGCAAAGGAGATTGCTGTCCCCAGTGTAGGTAAGCAATGTCCAATCTGAAGGCCTAAAAAAGGAAAAAGGGTGGGAGGAGAAGGAATTCACTGTTTTTTCTGCCGAGTTCACTCCTTGAGTTGGGACAGGGATTTTACACCATTGGCTTCCTAGGGGTCTCCAGCTTGCGAAAGGCAGATCCTGGGGATTTTCAGCCTCCATAATCTCGTGAGCCAGTGCCTCCTAGTAAACGTACATGTATTTGTGTCTCCTGCTGGTTCTGATTGTTCTGTTTTTCCGGGGAACCCTAAAAATACAGAGTCACCTCACCTGGGCCAGGCTTCCAGACTGGGTCCCCACACAGAGTCTCATAAAGGCAGTCTCCCCAGGCAGGCTTTCTGTCTGACCCAGAAACCCTGAAGTCTTCTGACCTGAGCCGCACAGTCCCTGCCTCTAAGGGAGCAGCCGCGGCTTCCTGCTCCTGACCACATGTCCACCTCAAGGTTACTCCGGCACCCCGCAGCCTGCCAGCTACACAGGATGATCCCTCCTCGTGGCCGAAGTGAGACATGAGCACCACCTGAGCCAAGAAAGCCCAGGCATAGTTTGATTGGCGCTAAAGTGTTTACAATTTTTTAAATTCCTTCCTACCATGTGAACATCAGAGTTCTCATACAAATCCCGATTTCTGGCTGCTTGCGAAGAACTGAACAATCAGTTTGTGCTCGTCTGGAGGTTAGGTGGCATCCACCCCCTTTAGGCAGGGACTCTCACGCTGGCCCCGGTCCCGACCGGCCCGTTCTTCACTGAGGCCGCCAGGCTCCCGAGGGCCGGCCTTCACAACGGGCTCCTGCACTCCCGTCACTTACGGTTCTGCTCTTGCCGTGCTTCCCAGTTGCTCCACAAAGCACTTCAAGAGCATAAATAAGGGCATCAACTGAGCACACAGTGCCCTGCCCACTGTGAATGGAAGGGGGGGAGCAGTCATGGATTGTATTTCTGCCTCCCAGGGTCACTTTCCTGGGTGACAGCAGCATTACGCGAGCACACAACTCAGGCTGGCCTGTCTGGCATGTCCACCCCACTGGGCCCACAGGAGGCCCGGCTCTGAAAGGGCAGCTCTTAGCTGTGAAGGTTCTGGCCCACCTGGGTGGGGAGGTGGGCTCGCAACGTAGCAGGGGTTATGAATTTCCTTCTTTTTTAATGACTAGGACAGCATCCCGATCTGCAGTCCCATTCCTTGCCTTCCCCGGCAGGCTGTCAGAGGGACAGAGTCGGGTGCTCAGTGCGGCCCACGGGATGACCCGGCCCCAAGCCGGAGCCGGAGCCAAACTGCCCCAAACCTTCCCAGGAACGCCGGTACCCCATCCTCATCCACCCAAACCGCTGCGTTAGCCAGACAAAGCCATCAGCCCCAAACGGGCGGCGGAGTTACCTCCTGGATAAAATACTTGGGCTGCCAGGGGGTGCGGAGGCTCTCCCGCTTCCGTTCCTCCACCCGCTGCTGCTCCTCCAGGCGCCGCTTCTGCTCCGTGGCGGCGTCAAGGTCCCCCAGCCGCAGGTACCGAGTCACCTCCCGCCAGAGGTTCCTGGGGATGCGTGGAGGAGGGAAAACAGTCGGTCAGGCAGGGAGGCTGGCTCAAGGACGGCCATGCCCGGCAAGGAGGGACCAGGGCAGGGCAGGGCAGGGCAGGGCAGGGCAGGGGCCAGCTGGGCAGGCCTGGAGAGGTAGCCCATCCCAGGTGCTCAGAGGCCCCTAGAGCCAGCCGGTGCTGAACCCAGGGCTGCCCAGCTCCCAGCCCGCGCTGTAAACTCTCCTCTTGTCCTGAGCACATGCCTCTCTCGGGGCCGACTGTCTAGGGATTGAATCTAGTGATGACAGTAGTAAGCAGGGGTAATACTACCAGCAGCAACAGACACTCACACCGTGTTTACCACATATCTAAGCATTTTACATAGAAACTCACTTAATCATCACAACAGCCCAGTAATAGAGATGCTATATTATCATCCTTATTTTAAAAGGGAGGAAAACAGGTCCAAGTAAGGTGAAGTGACTTGCCCAAGGTCAGCAAGCTGATAAATATGAACACTTGGTTTCCCACCATGGAACCCGGTATTAGGAGTTAGAGACCAGGATAAGTGTGGGGGGCGGGGGGATTTAGGCTACAAGCTGTCACCTCCCCCACATCGACACAGGAAGTTCCTTCTCTGCCACACTCATTCACTGTAGCAGGTGGCCTAGGTTGGTCCTATCTTAGTGCAGTTTCCCTCCTCAGGATTTTCCCAGGACCGTCCCTGATTCGTACGCTGTTCTACAGAGTGAGGCAAGGAACTACGGCAGAGCAGGACTCATGCACTTCCTCACTTAGACATATCAGACAAGCCAAGGTTTCACACAGAAGGAATCTAATTAGATCCTGGGCCAGGCCCACAGCAGGGCACCCTCGACCCCGTCCACATGGGGGCCTCTCAGCAGGAAGCCTTGAGTGCTGGCAGGATCGGGCTGAGGAAGGGCAGGGGGCTGCCGGCAACACAGCGGCGAAACCACCAGACCCTGCTGAGGGGGATCAGAACCGAGGCGCCGACGAGGGGCCAGCTCCTGCTGCCAGCTCAGCCTGCCCACCGACCCGGCCTGAGTCCCACGGGCCAGGCCCACGCGGAGAGAGCGATGCTCTGGCTGCGGTTCGACAGCAGGACAAACTTCCGAGCGGGAGAGAGAGCCAGGTCCCAGAAGCCTCACGGGCCCTTGTGCTTCTGCTGTGCCCTGATAGCTGACTTTAGAGGGAGAACGACTGGCCAAAGCAGTACAGGGAGGTGAGGGACAGAAAGTGAGGAGCGGGGGGCTGGGTCCTATCACAGTCTTTCATCACCCACACCCTCGATACACATTTCGTGCGGGGCAGGGCTCGGCACAAGGGCATCTGGCAGGGGGTGGGGGGTGCTCTCAAGAGCAGGACCTCCCATGATAAGCCTCATCGTAAGACAGTGGCCCCAAGCTTAGAAGGCAGGGACCCCCAAGGACTTGAGAAGGGGTACTGGGACAAGAATTGGCCCCAGACAGAGAGCACTGGCCAGACACACACACAGGGACCCAACCAAGTGCACTCTCTTAAGGCAGGGACTGGTGGGACGGGGTTGGGGACTCGCCTGGGGAAGACTTTGAACCTCAAGACAAAAGAAAAGGCAAAAAGGTGAAGGAGCCTTCAGGTGGGGAGGGTGGGAGCAGGCCAGAGAGAAAAGCAAAAAGGAAGTCAAGGGGGCCCTCCCTGGTCGCCATGGCAGAGGGCCGGCCAGCGGCGAGCGTCTGAGGCAGGGCGCACTGGCGTCACTGGGCGCTGGCTCTGCCTTCACGCACCGGGGCCCTGAGGGCTCTAGCCAAGGCAGGACTCTGCTCAGGCCAAACTCTGGGCAACAGGAGCAAATGCATAGGTGTGGGCAGACTATCTACCTATCTATCTATCATCTATCTAAAATCTGCACTCTTCCCCTGATGGGGCAGTGGTTCCCTCCCCTCCAAGGGGGCTGGAGGGGGCCGGAGGCCTCACCACGGCTAGTACCACTGTGAGGGCTGGCGCACCTGGTCTAACCACGGGCCCACCTGGCCCTGAAGGTGGTCCCCTCCTTTGCCTCTGCAGGTAAGGCCTGCGAGACCTGCTGGGTGAGTGGGCTCGAGCGTTCTGTGCAGCAAGGGCGCTCCTGGACCAGCTATACCCCCTTCCAGGGCTGCTCCCTCGCGGTAAACAAGATGGGCTGGGCTTGGTTTCCCTGCAGCTTAGCTCCAGGTTTCGGTAAGGTCTGCATATGTAAGCCAAAAAGAGGTGGCACCCCTCTTCTTACCCTGGTACCAGACCCCCTCCCCACTCCAGGGGAATTCTGAGTTCCCCTGGGCTACGTGAAGCAGCGACAAGTCTTAATGAGGACTAGCTCCCTTACTCCATTATCCTTGGAGGAACAACACAGGTGACGCCACAGGGTTCCTGACCCTGCGGAGGCCTCATGGGAGGCAGTGTGGGCAAGGGGGTGGCTTTCTTCCCTGTCACAGCCTGCCCCTTGTCCCACAACTATCGCCCAACAGGCTGAGCTGAAAAAGCCAATGGTGAGAGTTCATGTCCTCCATTTGGACACAGAAGGTTACGCCCACTGTCCTCAAATAAACAAAAGAACAAGAAGGAATGTGCTGATCCTACAATGAAGCAGAGGCTCCAGGGGCAGTGAGGCCCTGGTTTCCTTCAACTCAGTTATAATGTACTACTGGTTTACTTTTTTAAAAGACTGTATCTATTTTTAGAGAGAGGGGAAGGAAGGGAGAAAGAGAGGGAGAGAAACATTAATGTGTGGCTGCTTCTCAAGCGCCCCCTACTGGGGCTCTGGCCCACAACCCAGGCATGTGCCCTGACTGGGAATCGAACTGGCGACCCTTTGGTTTGCAGGCCGGTGCTCAATCCACTGAGCCACACCAGCCAGGTTGGTTGTAATGTACTATTTATACCCACTGTTGTATTCCCATTTACAAACTCTTCTTGTAGAGGCAAACCCTTTCACAGAATCATCTGTAATTTCATTGTCATTCTTCATCATATTTCTAAAGAGCAGTGTATTGCGTTTATATGAACAGGAGTCGACAGATATTTTCTATAAGGAGCCAGACAGCAAACATGTTAGGCTTGGCAGGCACTAGGGTTTCAGTCACAGCTACTTAATTGCCATTGTAGCAGGAAAGCAGCCACAAACAATAATCATGGCTATGTTCCCATAAAATTTTAGGAATATCAGCCACAGGCTAGATTTGGCCTCGAGACCATAGTTTGCTGACTCCCTGGATTAAAAAATAAAAATGGCAGCTCTGGCTGGGTGGTCCAGTTGGCTGGAGTGTAGTCCCATACACAAAAAGGTTGCAGGTTTGATTCCCTGTCAGGGTACATGCCTTGGTTGTGAGTTCAGTCCTCAGTTGGGGCCTGTATGGGAGGCAACCGATCAATGTTTCTCTCTCTCTCCCTGCTTCCTCTCTCTAAAATCAATGAACATATCCTCAGGTGAGGATTAAAAAAAAAATCAAAGTGGCAATTCCAAGAAGAGAATGCCTGTGTGCCTGCATAAAAATCACTTGAGTGGCTGCATTATATCCATACCATAGAGTGGGCAGGCGACCTGATCAGACACTGTATAATTCACTGTTTTCCTTCTGTTGTACAGGTAGGTAGTTACTTTTCCTTTTGTTTAATTGTTTAGTCAATTTTATATTTAAAATTTTTCTGAGCTTAAGAATTTTCCCTTAGAATAGATTCCCAGAAGTAGAGCCCAAGATTAAACTGAATTAATGAGTTTAAAGCCACTGACCCATACAGCTAAACCTCACACATCACTACTCTAAGCTCAGGGTATACAGTGTCAGTCTGATCCCACCCTTGCCAGCACTGAAGTTTTGTTTTGTTTTTTAATTATGTTGCTAATTGGGTAAGAAAAAGAAAAAAGGTATCTCATTGCTTCATTGCACAGTTCTTAGATTACTAGCAACTCTCTGTGTTTAGCTTTGTAGTTAAGGAACAGACCAGCTGAGCTGACAAACTGTTTGTGGACAGGCACTGAAAGGCTGCTGCCGACTCTCTTCACAGTCTGCCACAAAATACAGAACAGCAACCCTGAAAGCTATGAAGGGTCTACCCCTACGTGACACAGTGGAGCAGTCAAATACCTCAACAAGTCAGAGCATGATTCCCAGCGCATTTCCAATAGCCGAGCTTTCTAAGGCTTCCTTTCTGTCCCCTGGGTCAAGTGAGGACAACTAAGCTGGAGAGAAACAGCCTGACCCCCACCTGGACTCCATGGGCCCCTGCTTCTCCAGAGGGCGGACCTTCTTAGGGCACACTGGCAACGCGGCCGTGTCGATGACTTTGGTTTCTCCGTTGTTATAGGTGAACTCTAAGGTGCCGTTCCACTCCCCGTGGGCTTTACAGACAATGGTGTTGGTTGGGTTGTGCTTCACTTCCGCCGTGACCCTGAGTGGATGAATTAAATGAACACACTGCGAGATTATCAAAACACAGAGACTGACTTCAAACGGCAGACTCACAATTAGAGATTTTATTTTATGGCGTGGCATGGAGAGAAATTGCTTTTTTAGTGTTTTGCTCAAAGACTAGCTTATAAGCTAGTGATCTGATATTCTTGAACAAAAGAAGAGAAGGCATTTAGGGAAAAGCTGGTGGGGGTGGGGGGAATCAAATCTGTAGACTAGTTAACAGGCCAATCTAACAAGGGCTAAGCAAAACCTAACCTCTTGCTTGGCCTTGCATCTCAGCCTTCCTACTCACGGCAGTGGCTCCGGAGACCACCTTCAAGCTGGCCTTAAAAGTGCCTTCACAGAGATCTGTGAGCTCTTGCTTCGCCTGCGCTGGCCTGAGGGAGCTCTAGGTCTCCAGCTCTGGATGAAAGCAGACCCCAGCTCCCTCTCCACCTTGAGGCTTGCAGATTCTGAAGCTTGAAGGATTCGGAAACAGGGAATCCTGCTCCAAGCAGCCAAGCCTAGGAGGCAAGCAGCTCCTTTCTTCCTCATTGCCCAGCTCAGGCTGAGTTTAGAGTTTGCAAACGCAGACCTGGAAGCTTTCTGCCTGAGCCTCAACACAGCCAAGGTTCCTACGCGGCGAGCAAAGGCGCTCAGGCAGCGTCAGGAAATCAGGCTACGCCCAGGGGAAGGGCTTTAGTGGTGTGCAGGTAAAGACTTAACAGCCAGCTCTCCCTCCTGGAGAGCATTTGCCTATTTCTGTGGGGCCCCCCACTGCTGATTTCAAGCTGCCAACTTGGCATGAAGGTGGAGCAGGGCAGAAGTGCATGCATGGGATCAGCTTGTGAGCAGGTATGTCTGCATCCAAAGGGCATCTACTTTCTCAGGCAACTGACACTCTGACATCCTCACATGAACACCACACAGAACACTTTCTAAGAAAGAGGGCAAAGAGGAGAGCTTGTTTCTACAGTGATCTGCTCTGAAGGAGAACATTTTATAACTGGAGCAATAAAACCAATGCAGCACCTCTGCAAATAGCAGGTCTTGCCTTCAATTTCTTAGGTGTGTGCTTCCCAACTCCTGAAGCAAAAACAGGATCCTGATCTCACAGAGGACAGGGGATTCAGGAGATTTAATGGAGCCAACTTAACATGAACAGGGAGCTCTTAGATCAAATCGCTTCAGATCAGAGAAACAGGCTGGGGCCTCAAAAGGGAGAGTTTACTGTGGCAAATGGAAGTGCCTTTGTTTTCTCTGGTGTATTTTGCCAACACGTCACCAAAGGATCTCACTGTAAATTACATGGGGAAAGTTAAAAATTAAAAACAAAAACAAAAACCCTACCGTGTAAGAGGGAAAAAAGACATCCCTGTTTTGAGAAACGTGTGTTCAAAAACTGATCTTCAATTCATCCCACAGCTGGAATCCCACTTCTGATGGAGAAAAGAACCCCAGGGCATCGTGATGAGACAGAGACAAAGCCTCCCTGGCCGCCTCCTACCTGTGCACTTTCCCTCCGTAGAAAGGCTTCGTGTGGAAAATCACGGTTGCTGAGTACCCCGTCTTGGCACAGCTGATGCTGACTTTTCCTCCGAGCTCCACCCAGGGGATGGTGAGGATGGAGCGAGCGTAGGCACTGGGCAGAGTGAACACATACTCCTCCCCGTGTTCCAGGAGCCTCAGCACACCTCCAGGGAGAGAGGGTGGGGGGGATGGTCAGGCAGGCAGGTACAAGAAAAGGGCAGCTGGGGATCCAATGACACTAGACACACCAAGCGGCCTCCTGGTCTCCCACCTCTGCAAAGCCTGGCTGCCCATTCGCCACCAATTTACTGTGTGTCAGGCGCTGTACGAGTCACCGCGAATACAACAGTGAACGCTGTCTGCCTTCAAGGAGCAGAACAGAAAGGTGGGTGTTAACCAATCACCAAGCAAACACCAGACTGTAACTGTGATGAAGGTGGAAGGGGAGGTGCCCAGTGCCGTGGAGGCCTCCAGCAGGAGCTGACCTGGAAGGGAGGGTGCCCTGGGGAAAGGACCCGTGAGCTGGCTGAGCAGGGGAAGAGAGGAGGGAAAAGCATTCCCGGCAGCGGGAAGAGCATGTGCAAAGGCCACGTGGTAGGAAGGAGCCGGCGAGCATGAAGGGGGCGGAGTAAAGGGCCCGGGAACGGAAAGGGCGGTGGCGTGTTACAGGTGCAGGGGCTGGCCAGGCCAGGAGGGGCCAGACTTTGCATTTTAAGTGTCAAAAAAGCACAGTAAGGAGCTCTGCCTTCATCCTGGGGGCAACAGAGACAACCTCAATGGTTCTCGTGAAGTTAGAGGTCGGACGCTCCAGCTGCTGTCAGCAACGCCGGAGGCCGCCTGGCAGGCGCGGGAGCTCAACACTCACAGGCCCCCCCACCTCTGGATCGGGTCCTCCCTCCCAGGACCCAGGCATTAGGCCTGGAAGGGCCTAATTCTCTTTCAACAATGCGAAGTTATGCAGGTCTGTCTAGTTTCCTAGGGATATGGGCCACAGTTTTCAAATCTTCAAAGGCTAGGACCACCCCCGAAACACACGGACTCCCAGGGCTGCGGGCCAGTTTGTGCGGCACGCTCCAGTCCCCCGTCCGCCCCGCCCCCGCGGGCTGAAACCCAGCCCTTGCTTTGGCTTGTCTGGCTGGGACCCGCCAGGCTGCCTCTGTATCGGCGGGCAGCATATCTCTTCCCACAGAGGCCCATGCAAGCAGGCAAAGTCCCTAAAAAGCGGCGCTGTAGGCTAAGGTTTGTACTGCCGACGGCACCTTCCTACATCGCACCCCAGCACCAGGCCCCAGCTCCCTGCAGAAATGCCCTCACAGCACCTACTGCAGCTCGTTCTGGGCCTAGAGGTTATCAAGGGCACCCTGAGCCTCAGGAAGGAGAGTTCCATCCTTTGACCAGACACATGTGACCAAAGGTGGTCAGTGGTGTCCCTTTGCTGGGCTCCTGGTTCCTCCACTTGAAAGAGTGAGGAGTGGCGTCAACAACACCCCATGTGAACCGTTCTGGCTGCCAGGCCTTCCTGGATGCTTCACAAGCACTATCTCCTTTAAGCCTCATAAATACTCTACGCAGCAATAACTATTAATGCTTTTAAATAATGGTGAGAAAAATACAAGATGAGGTTAAGTAATTTGGCTGGTCAGTACTTTTCTCACAGGCTCGACAAGCATCCAAATCAATCAGAACTGTAATTTTCCCAGCAGAGATTGTGTGTGTGTGTGTTTCTTTCAGTGCTGATGAGCTTGCCAGGAGATCGGAGGAGAGATGGGACCAATTTGTACAGAGAGTCATGAATGCCAGGTTTCTGAAGTCAATATCAATATGCATTCAGTGATAATTCCACTGACCCTCGAAAATTCCTACAATCACCATGCACTACAGCCCGCAGAACATACTAGGCTTGTCCAAAACCAGCACCTTCCCTCTCTCAGAGAGGTCCCGTGAGGTCAGTTCTGCCGACCCCCAGGAGCATTTGACTGGTTCTGCAAATGCCACGCGATGTGCTCACGTGTGTTCAGGGGTCCTGCTCATCCCCAGCGCACAAACGCCCACACCCGCGGGCCCACGAAGGAGCTGAGACCACCGAGGAGAAAGAGATCTGCGGGTCACTCACAGTCAGGTGGGCAGGGCTGGGAGGGCAGGTATCACAGCAGCATTCCAGTCTTTCTCCCTCTGGCCAGGAGTATCACTGAACACACACAACATAAAGACGCAAACAACGGGACTCCACCGCCCCTGATGCACTGAACACCAGAACGGACTCGCCTCTGGCCACTCCCCCAGTTGCCGAAGGCTCTTGTAATGGAATGAACCCATCTTAGTAAAAGCCAGCCCTGGGCCACCCAATGCTGTCACTCTGACCCTTGAGCCTCCACCTATACCTCAGAGAATAGAACTGCCCCCAATGACCCGTGGGGACCCGTTCTATCCGTGCACACAAGGGAGGACTAGGGCGTCTGCGGGAAGAATTAGGCTTTGGTGTTTCAATCCTTAGAGTTTCTGATCAGGAGAATGGCCAGGTCTGAAATATGTTTTGTTTCCAAGCCTACTTTGCAGCTGACTTCCCCAAATTAGGTTGCTTGAAAAGAGGGGCCAAAGCAGACAGAAAACAGCTAATGCCACCCACAGACATGACACCAACAGTGAAGAGAAAACAGAAGTAAAAGATGAGAAGCGAGAGGTCGCCTCAGACTCCCCTCCCTGCCACTTTTCCACTCGCAGGCCCCTGCTTCCTCCAAGGCCAGCCATGTGCTCACAGGCCCCCAGCGGCAGCCGGGAGAGGCCGCGGGCCCTGTCTTAGGTCCCAGAGAAGAAGTTTCCCGGGCTACATCTCCGCCCCAAGGGCCGATGGACCATTTGGTAATAAAATCCTTCCAGGTGGCCAATATGTCTCCCAACAGCACCACCTCACCCCCTGGAAGTCTGGGGTGTCCCTCTCCTGTGCTTAACTGGAAGTACCTTGGGGACTCTCGCCTTAACACTTGGCAGCACGCGGTTCTGCCAAGTGCAGAACCATTTGCATGTCTTACGAGCAGCCTCTTCCCAACAGGCCCACACACAGACAAGAACGCCACACGCCAACCTTCCTGGTCTCATTCACAAATAGAAACTTCGCGAGGTAGGACTGTACACCTGATGCTTTTTTTACGACATAGTTATATGGAGAACATGCCACACATTTTTATAGATCTAGATGAGGTCTTAGGGGATCATTCCAAGTCCTCTGCCAGTCACCAGCCTGGCGATCCTAACTTCTCTGTGTCTCAGTTTCCTCATCCGTGTGCCAGGGCTAATGCTGCCCGTGCCTCACTGGGCTGTGGTAAGGAAGGGGAGTCTGGTGGGAGATCCTAAAACTCGGCTCCAGGCCCGCAGCCAGACACACCGCCAGGATCCTGTACGTTGTACGTCCTCATCCCTCCACACTCTCTAAAGCAGCTCTTTTGATGGGTGAATTTTTTTTAAATAACTTTTTTAAAAAAGATTTCACTTATTTACTTTTAGAGAGAGGGGAAGGGAGGGGAAAAAGAGAGGGAGAGAAACATCAATGTATGAAAGATACAGGGATGGTGAGATTGGTTACCTCTCACATACCACCAACCAGGGACCTGGCCCGCAACCCAGGCACTTGCCCGACTGGAAATCAAACTCCCGACCTCTGGGTTTGCAGGCCAGCGCTCAATCCACTGAGCCACACCGGCCAGGGCTTGATGGGTGAATTCTTAACAGTGGTATTTCCATTGGGGAATAAAGAGGACATCACAAAGTCTGGTGGTAGGTTATGCATGTGGGGGATGAAGGGATCGGTGGGAGGCACCCTCCTGCCACCCACCTTTAGAAAAATCTCTTCCAAACCACCATGAAATTTCCCACAAGTCCCCAGAAGCCAGTGAGCCCTGAAGCTAAGCTCGTTTCAAGGAATAAGCAAGACCACATTCTCTTGACTCTTTTCTGAAAATCTACAATATAAATGCATGCTCACTTATTAAATAACCTCTAATTAAGCCTTTGCAACACTATTTTCTCGGGTTGCATATTTTAAAAAAGAAAAAAAAAACCCTGCCCCTAATAGGAATAAAAGACAATATTAAATCTAGACTTACAGATAGTATCGCAAATGAAAATGAAAATGAAAGCTCCTTTTTCATGAGCCTAAAAGCTGAGAGAAACTGAAAAATGCCAGCTAATCAGTCCTTCCATGCTGAGGTTAGTCCTCAAGCTCAGAGACTGTCGTGTTAAATCCCACAAACTGGTTTATCAATAAACATAAGGCCAAGCGTTAAGGTTTTCAAAACTGATAAATTTAAATTAATTTCATACCCGATCTGAACCCGAGGAAGCAAAATACTCTGACAGTGCATTTAGCGTGGAAAGCCCAGAATCGCAGAGAGTAACTCTGGGGAATTGGGCTGCAGGCACCGGCGGCATCCACATCCATCAGCACCGAGCCACGTGTCACTTCTCTTGCTAGAACTAATTGCCGTTCCCTACAGACTCAATTAAGAGGCTGTGCCATTTTACTGGGCACTGGTTCTGGTGGGGTGCGTGTCAGGCGAGGCGGCCTGCAAGAGCAGCCGAACGGGCCTCCGCCCCGCCCTGCCCCACCCCGCCCCCGGCAGTGCGGGGTGCTGAGCAGGTGCGCCTTTGCTTCCCCGTGGACGTAGCGGGTGGGGGACTGAACTGCATCTCAATTACGGGTTTTCAGGGTCAGAGCTGAGGGATGGGGGACGGGGGGAGACAGACCTGAGCTGCAACCTAAGTGAATTCACTTTATAATGAACTTTATAACGACATTTTATTTTATTGTAGCTAAATATACCACAGCCTAGGGCAATAATTTAAAAGATAAGCCCATTTATTTACTAGACAATTTCAAGGGGACCCACTTAAGATCTAAATTTTAAAGTGAGGGGGTGGGGGAAATGTTAAATTCAGTCAAAAAAAAATTCATGGAATGTGCTGGATCCAAGCAGGAAATAAGTGAGGAAAAGAAAAATATCCCGCCTCCCCATGCCCAGCCCTGAAAAGGAGCTCCAAGGACAGGAACCAGCAACCTTTGAAGTTTGGGGACTCTGCCAAGTATTTTGTAGTGTGGAAAAATAAGATCATCTGAGTTTTCAAGCAGGGAGAAAAGTGACAGCAGCAAATGCTAACTCTGCTTCGGGGA